CCGGGCCTCGTGCTGTTTCTCCAGCTCCAAGACCCATGGAGCCTCCGGCGTGACGAAGCACTCGGATGCGATGACCGTCCGGTGTTCACCATCGCACGCTGCACGATCAGAGGGCTTTGTTTGTACAGTCTTTGTTGATTGTGTTTTGTACCTGGAACCTGAGAGACCCCTTTTTGGGAGGAACAACTAGCCAACATATGGCCCTTTTGCCTATCAATTCAATTCTGACGCAACACTTGGCGCTCATTCCCCGGACTCCACACTTGGCGCTCTCCACCGGGGCAGGTTTTCTTGGATCCACCGTTGAACCAACCAACTGGCGCTCTCCACCGTCGGCTGTGGGGCTCGTGGGCCGTCGACTCTTCGAGTCGGGTCGCCAAGGACCGAATATGTTTTGAAGGCCTTTTGGTCCACCTTCTGAAGGCCTTTTAGCCGTCATGTTCACCTTCGCCTTTTCGTTGGCTAGATGTATTCATCGGGTCCCTGGGTCTTTTTACAGGTCTGAGGACAGTAGGTTTTCGGTTTGGGGAAAGACACGGACGATTCGTTGGCTATATATATATATATTCATCGGGTCCCTGGGTCTTCTTACGGGTCTGAGGACCATGTCACATCAATTGGAAATGGCAACCGCGTCCAATACTATATCGTAGCCTGTTCTATCACGAGGTTCACGCGTCGTATTTTATGATGATACGAGTACGATCTTGTAAGATCTTGTAAGATCTTGTAAGTGAACACACATCCTGACAATTTGAAACTGTGGTATTATTCCGTTTCTTGACAACCCCCGCTAGCTTCACTGTAAACACATAATTACTCATGAGGCCTGTTTGGAGGAAGCGATCAAACTAAACTCTCACTGTCAAATAACATGTCCCTATCTCATGCCGCTTAGCATTGGACGCACCCACCTCCCAAGCTGTTCGGACCCAACTCAGTAGCTGTTCGGACCGTTCTACCCCTGCGACTCCGAGATGTGCCGGCATTGGCACATTGGGTAGATGCATGTATACATGCCTTTTCAGGCCTAAACAAACTACAACACCATGTACTACATGGGTGAAGCGCAGCCGTCCGGGGGGTCGGTCTGCTGTGGTCGTTCTAGTCATCACCGGCCTTCGCGGCCTGGGCTCCGTCTCCTGGAAGCAGGTTTTTTTTTACATATGGGTCCTGGGAGCTAGCATGCATTGTGCCTTTCAACGTTTTTTTTGCATATTGGTCAGTCATTCTTGGGATTTTTTTTTTGAATACAGAATTATATACACATAGAATATAATGTAATGTGATATAATTATGCTCAAAAATGAACAGGTTCAGGTGAGACTACCGGGGAGACCAACAGGAAGAGACAGGAAGAGTTGATCCCTGTGGTGTGGAAAGAAAAGCCACTAGTCCCCGACCATCTCGGGGGACGACCCCCAGGGTTTAGAGGAAACACCCTCCTCTACCAGGTGGCCTGTCTGTCCACGAACATTAATTTTTAGATACTCCGGAGTGATTCGTCAAACTCTCCAGGACTACAAACAAACAAACAAACAAAAAGGACATACAAACAGGAAAACAAATACCAGTGGAATTCAGTGCTTTGTTTGTTGTTCTGATTCTTTTCCATACATGAATGTTTGTCAAACTATTGCCCCTTGATGATTTGCCAGCTTCCTCACTCCGGTCACGGTCTCGCCGCAAAAAGTCTGTCTCCACTCATCCAAACCATCCAGTGAAGGTGTTGATGAACTTCAAAAGATGGACTTCAAAGACAACTTGTCGTGCTTTACTTGTTCTTTCAACTTGTTTGTCAATTCTCTTGATGTTGCTAGACCCTCCAGGTCACGTTCTGAGTGGATGGAATGGCCGAATTGGGAAGACGATTTTCCGAACACCAACCAGGTAGTTTGCCACTTCCTGGGTTGTTTCAGGGGCTATTTATGTCTTTTCAACAATTGAACACTGTGTACATGTGTTATAGCCGACTGCATCACTCAGGATTTCAGCACCACTTGGCCACCATCTGGCTGTGGATCAGGAACATGTAGCCCAACATGGCTCTCGGCAAGGGCGGATTGACCAGCTTTCCCACAGGTTTGGTTGTACTCAAACCATTGCACCCTCACTGGAGCCAGTTCGACCCTGCGACACTCGCCCAAAAATGGGGAACCCAGAACCAAACCTTTACTGGCTGAGGGTCCATGATTCCTATAGGGTCTGGTGCCTCATCCTAAGGAAGCTGGCACCTTCCCACCTTCCCACCTTCCGAGCGGTCTCACCCATCTCCTGGCGGTCTCAAACCCAGAGCCTCCAACCACCTGCCTGTCGACGCGAGTCCCAACGTCGACCGGTGTTGCGACACCGAGACGGGACCATGGTGTTCAAGCTTTGATGGTAAGAAACACATCACATGTCACTGGAAGATGGCAAGGGGAAATATGTCGGAGTTCAATCTTTGTGTTTGGGGGGGTTCAACAAATATGCTAAGTGTTGTAACTAAACATGACCAATCCCGGGAAAAAAACAACTCATGAGACTGGAATAACATATGAATTTACTCCATGAAGATGATCCATCCATGTCTTGGACACGATTCCCAAGCGATTGAGCTGCTGGTCGACGAATCCGAACATGGGTAGCCGCGGTGACCAGACCTGGATGGTCTGGGCACCGCGTCCAACACTCCCAAGAGCCAGCGCTCATCTGCAAACGCTCCCAGGCTCGGAAGTGAAGAGGATCATTGGTGAACATTGCGGGTTTGTCTACAAGTGTCCCAAAGCCACGTGAAGGAGCATTCCAAAGGCAATATACTATACCCCACTACCCCATGATCTGATAGCTTTGATATTCCTATATCATACAAGGAAAAGGCCAAGGTTACCAGGGCAACCAACGGACACGAAATTGGACTGCATTTATTGCCTTGCATCCCAGCCTGGTGCCACAGATAGGCCGCTAGCTAGACGGACAGGCAAATCTAGATAGATCGACAAACAGATCAAGAGACAGGACCATCGATATCGACCCATCGGTCTAGCCCGACATCAACCTTGAAGTCCAACCCAGATCGGTGACCAACTGAGTGTCAACATTACAGTAAGTACATCACCGAGCTCACAGAAGAGCTCTGGCGATCAAGAGGCAGAATTTGGAACAGGTGGAAGGTCGAGGTACACTACAATCATTATTCATTATGTTTTGACTTTAGAGGTGTGGAAGTAGCCCATTTTACAGGCCAAGTGTCCCCAATGCTTAGCGCTAAAAGGCCGTTCCGACCATCCCTATGGACAAGGAGTCACATGTCGTGACTCGGAGCCGGGGAATTAGAGACGTAGCCGGCTTAGAGAAGGAAGGAGCCATCCGAATGTAACGTACCCTTTGTGAGCCATCCAAGGGTAACATTTAGAGACGGAGCCATTTCCCCTTTTGTGAGCAATCTGAGGTTCAAATTTAGACAAGGAATCATACCTTTTTAAGCGTAATATATTTGTGTTCTTTTTGTGGTGGAGACTAAAACTTAAGAAGTGATCACAAACGCCATCATCACCGACCACCATACATGCAATAGGCAATAGCAAATACATTCACCCTCCCGACCGCGTGCGACTGGTCGCTGATTCTGGGGCTGTGTCCGGGGGCGGATTCGCCGCGCTGGTCGCTGACTCGACGTTGTCTCCGTGGTCCATATGGTTTCTCTAAATATGTTGAAGATCCCTATACTGCCGTGGCTGAGAAATTGTAATACTACCTCCAGACCAAAATGCCTAGCTCATCCGTACCACCGGAGGCATTGGATCATTTCAAGTCATCCACCGCCACCGTGGCGGTTGGCATGCCCTTCCCACGCCCAGCGCGCCTAGCTCCTCCATGCGAGCTTCGAGCTCGTGGCCTTGGTCGGCCGAACGAACGGTGGCCGCTTTGGGTTCCGGTCATGCAGGACCTCCGCGAGGCGGGGATCGCAGGTGATATGACCAGGGGATGTCCATCTGTTTATATATTTACTGGGAACATGTCTTTCCCAAGTAAAGGGTAAAGATGAAAGTAGCAGTTGTTGAACAGTATAGCTTCTTGCTCCTAGTAGCGATGCCCTTTGCTCCGTTCGTAGCGATGCCAGGAGCCCCGTAGCGTCCGATCGCTCCTAGTTGTTTAAAAATAGGTGTTCAAGGCTATCCACTTTTCCTGGGTGGTCTTTCTTCGAAGCGAAGGCATCGGACATTTGAAGAGGGAGGTGGAAGAAATGCTTGGGATGAAGAACGCAGTTGGTGCGGCCGTACCCGGAGGCGGTAGCCTGCGGTGGTACGGAATTTAGTACCTCCCATCAAAGAATTCAACATAACCCAATAGTAAGAGTGCAGGAAAGGAACACACTTCTGTTTCATGGTGGTTCCTACAACCAAGTGGTTTACATTCTACCACCTTGGCCTTAGAGGCGACTGGCACGATAAGAAGACCGGAGACCAAGTTGGAATAAGCTCAACACCTGGCATGAAGACCAGTGTACCTGCGGGTTGACAGGAGAATATTGAGGTGATTGCTGGTTTCCAATGGAGGTGCCATCCTAAAAGCCAGGAAGCTTCTCATGCCAAAGCTTGTCATGGGGTTTTGGACCCACAGGTCTTTGTCCGCACACCCCACAGTCCATCTTGTATGTTCTTTGTTCGTTCCGTGAATCATTGACACAGAAAGTACATCACATCTGGTCTTTGGACACATGTTATCCCTGGGATGGATATTTGTTTCTTAAAACATCATCGTTTGAAACGTTGCTCATCGGACACCTTTAAGCCAGTTTAGTCTAAGATGATGGTGCCTGGGTATTTGGATCTTGTATGAACGCAGGAAAACCATATGAAAACCTTTGAACACCCTAAACTCATGGGCGACTCAAGTTGTTGAATCTGCGAGGCATGTGGTGGTTACCCCATCAACGAACGTTCGCGCCACCAAGCGCCGTCCGCCTCGCGCCGTCCGCCCCGCGCCGTCCCTTTTGCGTCGTTCCCATGAGGCAAGAGTCATCCACCACACACCTGGCGGAGACGATGGACGTCGAGGACCGCGGTTTTGCTCCGACCAGTCGAGGACTGGTGTGTGAGTTCTGGTTTTAGTAGACCCTGCAGCTTAGCAGGCACAAACAGTGAGTATAGATTGGGTGAGAACACATCAAAAAGAAAACACATTTCAAATTGGAACAACACACCTTTGGTCAGATTTCCCAAGAATCTAAAAAAACATCAGGATTCCGTCCTTTTTCGTTGGGATCTGTCTCAAGGTGCACCGAGGCGACGACAACTTTGCACTCGTAGCTCATGAGCTATAAGACGGCAAAGTCTGAGAAGCTGCTTGGGGGCTGAGGGGCTGAGAAGCAGGCCAAACATGCACCTGAGGAAAAAGCATGAGCTAAACCATAGCCACACACGGGTGCTTCTTAGGCCTGCACCGCAGCTCAAACACTGGGAAAAAACATTGACCAAAGCAACCGCTTTGGAATTCCCATCAACTGCCGATCGAGTCGATCCACAAGCAATCCATGTTGGTCGACTGCCTCGTTATGGTCTTTGTCATCGATGCTCGACTTTCTTTAGACCGGCAACAAGCCTGGTCAGCGATGAGTACGGAGGTATGTGGAACACCCAGCATTGCGTACGAACGGGGCTTGATCGGTTCTGTCTCGATGAGAACCCAAGACTTGGACCATAGTGGATCCTTACGAATGGCCACTTGGCATAGCTTGGCGGTTCTTGAGCTTGCGTTTGCGAGTCTTCAGTCCTACCATCGAATTGATTCAGTCATACGGGTCACCTACTGGGTCAGCGGCCCAGAATGCACACCAGAATGCTACGTAGCTACGTAGCTATACGTAGCTACCGAGTTTTTTGCGGGTGGCCTTTTGGTTGGGTGTTTCCACCAACACCAACCAACCAACCACGCCTTGGTCAACTGCGTAGTACTGAGGATCTTGTGCGCTGTCTGAGGAACATCCGCCCAACTGACTGTCAACAACCGATCCTCTTGAAGGCGCTCCCGCTGCTCCTGTGCGTCATGCACGGCCGACGGGTCATGGGTCAGTTCTGCTCGGCAACGAACCCCCCCCGACCGTTGGGAAAACCGTTTCATACACACCAGCAAAGGTTGAAGAACCCTCTAGACTATAGACTATCCTAGTTCGGTACCCCAGGTGACGGGTCCTAGTTCAGGTCACTGGCTACCTCTGTTGGCGTCCGTACGGAACGAAAAAAATAGAAACACGGTGCGTCCAGTACGGAACACAAGATCCATGGTGCAGCTGCTTAATGTTGATCTGAGAGTACAAGTCCAAAGCACCATACAAACGATACAAGTTCCATGGCATAAAAAGGCACCTGCAACAGTTCACAGGAGGGATTCAGTGGGGAAAAAGGGAGGAACCAGTGTGGAGGAAAGCATGTTCCTGTTTGAGTGCCTGCAGGTGTTCATTGTAGCCAATTGGTTGTCAAAAACAATTTGTATGCTGGCAAATGAACACATCCTGTTGCCAAACACTCTAAACAAATATGTCCAATATATGTCACTAGTGTCCAGCCTGTGGTGCAGGAAACGTCCTCCAATGTCCACTGTCCTGAAAAGGAAAAACCACGTCCCGTTGACTCTTGTGGTCAAAGAAACCTTGTCCTGTAGCTCCTCTTTGAAGGTGGGGCTGATCGCAATGAACATCGCTGTTGATGGAAACAACAAACATCGCCGTATTCTGATGGAAACATCTCATGCCACCCATCTCATGCTACGTCCTCTCTGCTGAGGGTCTCCAGCCCTGCTGTGCCGCTTTGCTCTGCTTCGCTCCTCCTGTTCCAGCTGCAAGTGCTGGGAGATCTCGTGCTGCTCAGCTAGCTGTTGCCTTGTCATGCCAAACGCGCAGCGAACAGTTCTGTTACTAGGGAGCGCAGCAACGTGTTTTCACCCAACGGTCTGAACATGCGCTCATCTACCTGGTAGATCCTTATGGCTGATGGGGGGAATTTCCTAATTGATGCGAACCAGCAATGAATTTGATCGAGGAAGAGAACATGCTTGGTACGTACATTGAGTCACGCTAGAATACTTGAGGTTGTGCAAAAAACGCCTAAAAATAATTCCCGTATATATACCACTCTTGACTTCACTTTTTTCCCGAATGCGTAGCGAAGGGTTCTCGTTTAACTTTGGGGGTCTGGGGATAGAGCCTTGTTCGCGACCCGTTGTTTCTATGTTCGCAACCGTCCGCAACCGTAATGTCGCTGTCACATTGGGATTGGCGTGTGAGCGGGTGTTGTTTCGAGGAGCTGGAATTGCGAAACTGCTTGGCAGGGCTGCGCGATGTGTGTGCTCCGATGGATGTTTCCGCTTGACTTTTGGAGGAAGTCTCGCACGAAACGCTCGTTTTGCAGACTTTGACATAGAGTTTTTGAGGAAGTCTCGTACGAAACACTCGTTTTGGAGACTTGACGCGGTACGAAACGCTCGTCTTCTAGTGTGTGGGCAGACCGCGTGGCGACACGATGCTTGTGATGTTGCAGTGCCATTGGGATTTGCGCGGCCTGGGTGGGAAGTGTGTTTGCGTGGCGCCGTGCCACTCAAAAGCGCAAAACATGCTGGCGTAAACGCGGCGTGCCGCTGGTGAGCGGGATGATTTGTGGCATCAAGATTGTCCCAAAAGAGTGACCTACTTTGATGGGCTGTGGCTTTAGTAGTAGGTTAAAATGAGTATCATATTTAGTTAAATTATTATTAACAATTTAGCTGCTTTAGCACTTTAGCTAAGTCATTAGTTAAATAGTTAGCTAAGTGGTTAGCGAAATACTTAGCTAATGAAAATCACGATGTGTAACAACAAGCTTGCTATGAATGCACTGAGGTGAAACCATCATTACATGCAATGGAAACAGGCTTTGCCTGCCAAAATGTGTGATGTCAATTATGTACAAAAAGCAAAAATAGATTTCACACCATTTGCCTTTACATGGTAAGCTGGCAATGCCAGCCCCAAAGAAGCCTGTATTGGCAGCCAATAAGAAGCCTGTAATGGCAAGACAGCTGTCAACAAGAAGCCTGTATTTGCAAGAAAGCCTTGCAACAGCAAAGCACATTTTACCCCCAGGGCAATGGAATCAAAGTTGTGACTCTTTGGTCATTCTGTGCATACACACAACTGGTGGCAACCTGGCACAGAGGAATTGCTGCAACTTGACAGCATATGCATTCCCTTTGCCAACCCCCAGCAAAGACAACAAAGACACTAAGCAGAAGGTTTGCCCAGCAAAAGCCACATGCAG